CTCACTGCTTCTCAACTAGTGCAAAAGAGTGATCTTACACAGTCTGACAATGCCACATCTTAATGTGGGAAGGCTTCCAAATATGGACTACGGCTCCTCCCTTGACACTGCCTTTGATGTGTGACTGACAAATTCATTAATTAGATAGGCTTGTGAGAATGGCAACTCGTGCAGATACAGCTACATTGTCAAGCGGTGCAACAAAAGTACGGAATGCCAGACAAAAAGCATGCCCCTAAGCAGCAAAAGAAACTTATGAAATTCCAAGCCTCCTCTGATGGTAAGGACAATTATATTATATGCATTGTGCATTTCCACCAAGACTGAGAACAAAATCACAGATACCAAAACCACACAAGCAGTTCAGGAACTGGTGATTTTTACTTCCAAATTAGTTGTGAATTGGCAGTGATCTAGAACCTAGAGTGTATCCCATTTCTAATGTGCACTCATGCCCTGGCAGCATTTAAAATACATACCGACACATCCTTCAGGTAATTGTTTCCTACAGTGTACAGCAGTGGGATTCCTCTGTTACCTCTGCTGTGCTCTATGGCTGACCAGACATCGTAACCTTGCAACCACATCCATGTGTATTTGTTTTTGTGTGACGTCTTGAGGTTACATTATTTATGTTGTCTTCTTGGTTTCATTTGCACACAGACCATTGTAGAATGTGGGTACCAAAGCCAGACTGAACTATATGCTGTTTTGTAACATTTGTTCTGTATAGTACATTAGATGTACAATCGGTTTATTAGGTACCACTGGCTAAAACTAAACAGAAGTCTAATACAAGACATAAATCCTCCCTTCATGAAGGTTATAATGTTCAGGTTTTGTTGAGACTGTTTTGGAGAGGTGTTAAACTTCATGAACGTTTTGGAGACTGCAGTTTGTGACACTGTTGAATTGCACTGTGTTAAAGTAATAGGTGTTTATATTATTTTGTCCACCAAATTTATATTAATTGGGGTAGGCAAAATAACTGAAACACCTCTCTGTACAGCACCATAAACCAAAGTTTCAACCAAAACTGAAAATGATAACCTTCATGCAGATTAATTGGAACTCATATTCACAAGCAACTAAAGTGCAGGGAACAGCTTTCTTAATGGAGACTGCAATCTAGGACTAGACTGGAGAAAGAAATCCATGAGAAAGATGTAGGTAAATTCTGGGATGCTAAGAAGCTAAAATATTATCCTGTCAGAGGCAGCTCAGGCCTTTCTTTGCTATCTCCTCAGACCATTACCTTCCCAACCATAACACATTACTTAACTGTCTAATCCTTGTCTGCTTGATTAAAACATTGCTGCCGGTGTCAAACGAAGGGCATGTGTACTGTGTACAACAGACATAAAATAAACTGAAGATGGTAAATGTTTTTCTATCCTCTTTCTCTCGCTGACTGTCAGATGGAGTCTCTGAGGCTTTTCAGTCAACAGATTATTACAAATGAAAGAAATACCACACAGTGACACACAAATCAGAATGATTTAAAAAAGCGCCGTCACAACACCGCCTTCTGTGCCAAAACAAGACACAAAGACAAAAGAAAAAGAGAACAAACAAGAGGACGAGGCACAGAATTTCAGACTATAGTTCTCACTTGAATGTTGGGGAGTGGTTGGTATCTCAGGTATGTTGGGACTGACATGGTGACATAATGCAGAAACATGCTGTAGGTGGGGGGGGGGCATGGCATTTGACAGAAGTGGGCATTTGTCAGACCGTGAGGGCCTAATTAAAGAGGCTATCTACTTGCATTGTGGGAGGTGTTGTATGTAGCATGCTTTAAGCTTGACCCATACTCAGGGCTATGAGTTAGGATAGCTCAGCCTCTGGTGCAATTTGAGCTTTCATTTTTTAATCTCTCTCTTCACATGTCTCTGAATTTTATAGAAGTGAAATACTAAATTGGTGGAGTAGCCTTTTAAGATAGAAACTGCAGTAGAAAAAGAATCTCCTAATAATCCTAGTCAGAAAAAAGTCATAGTTGGAATAAGCATAATAATAATACAGTTACTGAATATTCCACTTTTAGCTGCATTAACAGAAAGCATGCTACATACTATATGTATACACATATGTACCTGACAACAAACTATTTTTGATCACCTCCATTGTTTCTTCACTCAAATGATGAGATCTCTTTACCACTAAAAGGAAAAAGAAACTTTCTGTGAGGCCAGCGTCTTCCAGGTGAACCACCTTTGTTTACCTGATGCCTGAGTCTAATCTTCTGTACAGCCATAATAACAAGAGCCTGAAGCACAGTGCGTTTGTGCAATCTGCACACGACAATCATAGCGCTGGCAACATGACACAACGAGAAAGAGCTGTGAAACTCTTGACATTGTAACGTAATGCTCATGGGAGATTATTAATCACACTGTGCTTTACAACCCATGTAAACAGCTTAGTTGAAATATGGAAATGTACTAACAGTCACAGTGGTGTTCGCTTCTGATGACAATGCTACACTACGTTAGAGGTAAAGAGATGTGGAAATCCAATATCACCTTAACTGAGGATGGACAGACAGGCACAGAGATATGCTGGGGGCGAGGCGGCAGTGAGGAATTTCCCTCCTGCTGAAAACTCATCCATCACCCAGTTTGCCAAGCAAAGTGGTGGGTTTCATCACTCCCAGCTACTCTTTTGTCTCCTCCCCTTAATCTTTCTGTATTTTAATCTCGCTCCACTTTGTCAGAGTCTGACTCTCTCCGGCTCTCTTCAACACGATTTGAAAAGATAAAGCTCTTGCTGATTGGTGGTGCTGACGACCACACAGTTTCTCCTGCTCTTTTATCTGTCTGTACCAGCCATATGCCCACTCTACTTGTCTCTCTTCCTCTTTGTGCAACTGGGTAGATTTCTGCAGATTCATATCAAAACCAAAATGCTTTGCAAGTGACTACAGTAACAAATCAACCTGGGCTCTATTCTATATTTTGTTTGCACCACAGAAAGAAACTTTTCAGCTGAACAGCAACAAACACGCTAGCATATCATCCATTTGCTCAGATACACTGATAACAAAATATCTGCATTGAGCTCATAGGAGCCGATGTACTGACCGGAGATGATTTTTATGAAGTCAGAAACACTTCCAACACCACAGCCAAAGACAGTAAAAAAAATGATATTTTATAAGTTACAGATAATGTTGAATGTACCAGTAGGAGGCTCTATTGGCAGAATGGAATATAATATTCATAGGTATGTTTTTATTAGTCTATAATCCCCTGAAAATAAGAATTGTTATGTTTTTGTTTCCTTAGAATGAGACGCTTTTATCTACACAATCTGTTCTCATTCCCAGGTCATCAAATACTGATGTGAGTGGGGTTCAGTCGAATGCAATCTGCAACTTTACAGCTAGATGCCACGAAATACAAACAGTTCCTTTAAAAGATGAAAGACTGGAGTAGATCTGTTATCTGACTAATCATGGAAGACAGCTGTGAGCTTTATGAGTAATTAAGACCAAAAACAGTCAACACTTAACAGAGTCAAACAGCTGAAAATGGGACAGCAGCATGACAGAGTCAAACTTGGTCTAAAATATATCATTTTAATACAGCAGACTGACAGAACCAGTAACATATGGACATCAACTTAATGTATCACAACCTTATGCAAACTTCCAACAAAGCTGACAAGATCACTTATGGTAACACTAATATAATTTACTGCTTTCTTTTTAAGTTTTATACATCGTTACACTGCATGTTTTACAACAGAACAGCTTGTCTGAGAATACTAGCAGCTAAAGTTTATCTCATTATCATCCCAGGACGGTGATTGTCTTCTTTTATTGTGTCATAAAACAGCAGTGCTGATCTGTAATCAGCTAGCTTCTTTGGCTGCTGTGACATTTACATTTCCACGTGTCCTGTGCAGTGATCCTTTATGTGAAGCTTCTCTTTGAAACCTCAGGCATAAGTAGGCTATGCTTGTTAACAAACCCCCAAGAAAGTAACTATTTTCCTGAGAGTCAAATTAAGCCAGAGGTGAGGTGAGTAACACCCCCTGGATATGGCCTCAAGGCCCTCAGTTCGTCAGCCTGACAGAGCCATGTCAGGAGCTCCTGCTGGGTTCTGCTTGTAAATCAGTATGCTCAGCTGCATGCTAAGCAGCGTTTGTTTGATGGGTTGTAGGGCAGAACTATGCTTTTTCTTTTTTTTAAATGAAGCTATAGCACAGATCAAGCAAAGATGTGGTTAAAAGTGATGAAACAGCAGTGGGGTTTGCCGTAAAGTAGGTGAGTCACACATAGATGTGTGGTTAATCTCATATACTGAACTTGAGATCTTGACTGTAATGTTGTGTGTGTGCATAGTGTTGTGTGTGTGTGTGTGTGTGTGTGTGTGTGTTTTTTGGTTGTTAAATGCAGCTGCAGCGGCGGCTAGGGAAGTGTTAAAATATAGCCCCACTATCTTAACCGGTGCATCATAAACTGTTGTAAATGCCCTGCAGACTTGAGGCTTTTTGACAGTTACGCAAAAAAACGGAACAGGCAAAAAAAATAAACAAACCAAAACTACTAGTCTAACTAGTGTTACACTTCATTCTGAAGGAGGCATAGGCTACTGTGCATGCCATGGCATATCTTTTAAGATCAAAACTACAAGAACTATGATAAGGCAGTTACTGTAAACCCACTGTGTCTTTATCCAAGTGAAAATTGTATTTTTTAGTAAGGTTGGGTCAGGATTTAAGAAGGCAGAGTGTTAGAAAACATCAATAGCTGTGTTTATACAGCCAAATTATATGTCAAGGGGAGTTTTCAATTAATAAATGACTTGGTTTGGTTTGAAATGCTTAACAGAGGTCAGACAAGTCAAAAGCTGCTGGGGCTGTCCAACTCTGGCTGGGCTCACTTCCACCTCTTGGCCCGGTTACAAAAGGTGTCAACCGACCACGTACACCAGACGTGTGTTAAAATTCATGCAGAAAACATGGTTGGTCGAAATAATGCAAAACACACTTACCTGTTTAGAGTTGGCCACTTGATATTTTAGGTCCAATACACTGCAGGAGGAAAACGAAACCAAGCAGGAAAAGTGGAGAGATAGCCTACTGGACACGCGACAAAAAGAGAGGGAGAGAGGGAGATAGAGAGAAATCCTCCTTCCACCTAAATGAATTATGTGACGAGGAGGATAAAATACGACACAAACTTCGCCGTGTAGGTGAACACCTGAGTAGCCTCCGCGATAAGCTAGCCCCCCCCAAAACACACAACGCTCGTCTCATGAACAGCGGGCCACACGTAGTTACTTATATCAAACTTTTACAGCTCTGTAAAGTTTGTTTTAGAGAGAAAGTCGCGGCATTTGTTTAAAAAAAAAACGTGAAACCGTCCCGGAAAGCCGCTCTCACCGCCTCCCTTCGTGCCTGAACCCGTCCGTGAGGAGGAATAGAGTCGGTCTGTCCAGCGGTGGTTACCTGACTCCAGTCATTACCGTGAGGCCAGCCCTCCTCGCAGTAGCAGCAGCAGCAGCAGCCTCATGTTTCCTGTTGTTGTCGCTCGGAATGACTGCAGAGCAGATAAACAGCTTTCCTCCTTGAAAGCAACAGGTTGAGAAGCCTTCTTCTTTCATTTAGCGACCAACATGACATGCCATCTGGTGAGCATAAAAACAGTGCCATGGAGGGAAACTTAAAAGTGGACTATGTTTGCTTTAATATTTGCTCCCTTCAAGGTTACAGCAGACAAAAACGGAGCTTTAAACTCCCTGTATTTGCGCTTTAAAACAACATTGTTTTTAATGGGCGGACATAATATTCTTTGCATGTTTGGGTGCAACTGCTCAACCTTCAGAATTCATCTACTCTCACCATGTGGTGTGTTTCTTGCAGGTCACGTTATCAGAGGGGATTTTGATGAAATGAGGCATCTGTGCAAAAAAAAAAAAAAAAAGAGGTAATATTTGCATGCAACTCATCTCATGAATAAAAGTCAAACCAAAAACCTATTACATGTGATGTAAAACGTTTCACTAAAAGAAAGAAGTGCCTCAAAAGTGTAAAGTCCCTTTCAGCTCAAATGAGGGATTCCACATCCTGCTTTCTAAAATGAAATGGGTGTAAAACGGTCGCCTTACATTTCTAATAATACAGTGCGTTTGAGGGTTGCTCTCTTGTGTATTTCGAGGTGGTTTTGAACCACCAACCTTCTACAATTTCACTCATTTTAAAAACAGAGCGGCAATAAGAAGTTAATCATCCATTTATTTTTATGAAGAAAAAAGAAAGAAGGAATTTAAATAGGCTGAAAGCTCTCAAGTACTGACAACACTTCAGAGGACAATACAACTATCTATTGACTACTAAGATAGTTATTGGTTGTATTTAGCTCGATTAAACAGTTTTTGGCCACTGGGTAAACTTATGATGTACAGTGTTCCAAAACCTGTGTATTTAGCCGTGTTACGGCATATTTTGATGAAAATATGAGTTACTGGGAAATACCTAGATTAGAAGCTGTGGATTATGCTTCAGGTTACCATTGTGAATCCAAGTTGGCTGCTGTGGATGTCCTCTGTTAAGGCGTCAAGCTCCTAACTTTTCAGTGCCACCTTTCGAAGCTAATGGGTAGATAGGTGTCATATCCTTTAACACAGGTTTTTGTGGGGTGTCCCTTTTTAATTTGAAAGCTCAGGAGAATTTACAACACATACATTTGGGTACGCTAAGATGCCAGATGTTTTTCTCTATGCCATGCTGGGTTTGAGCCTTTTTGCTTTTTTGTGTTCTCGGAGAAGTCCTTTGAATAGCATGACTTGATCTGTTTAAAATGTTTTACTTTTGCTCATGCACAGCCCAGTTTATTGTCTTTTGCACTGAAGACACAGATCCCTTGCATTATTTGTTTTGAAGTAGTTCATTAGTAGTATATGCATGTAACTGTAACCACACTGGTGTAAATTTGCCTTCATACTGTTCAGACCCAAAAAAGTAACATTTTCTTGTAGTGTCCTATATTACCTCAGGTTGACCCCAGAGTGGGAAGGATACAAAGTTTTGTTCATGAGTGACACCAAGGACAATCCAAAGACATCAGTCATTACTTTAGCTTCATGAAATAAAACTAGGCCAGGCTATTTTTATGTATATTTTATTATAGCTTACTCATATTTCATTCATACTACAATATACTTGAGGCTCATTTTCTCGTTATTAATTGCTTTTTTAATGTGCCTAAATCTAGGGTATGAACCCCTGAAATACTAGCGACACAACATCTTTAGAGATGGTCAGTATTTTAACCACATAAATTACAGCTTAGCTGACCTGTGCTGTATCTTCTTTATAATCCCATTTTGCTAAAAATCTGATTAATTCTTTATGGCTGAAATTCCCTAGCATGGCAATTTGAAGCAAGAATGTCCTTGGCTGTGATCCACAGTGATGGTGTATGAAATGAGAACATCGGCCTACTTCTGATTCCCCAAGACAAGAGGGAGTCTTCACACGAGCAGCCAGATAGTGGGAGCACACAAGCTCATATCACACAGCTTTCCCTTAACAAAATGACAAAACATTCCAACCTTCTTTGTTAATATACTTAGTACAGCAACCTTTCCTTAACAATACAGTGCGCATGTGCTTTTGTACATGTGTGTTCATGCATACGAGTACCAGCACTTTCCAAACACTGCTCTTTTGTTAGCTTGTATGTGCTTGTGTAGCATACTGTATGAAGAGCACCATTTGTGTCTGTGTGTCTGTGTTTTTGTGCATACAATACTGAGGTTTATTTAGGTTGCATGTATTTTTCAACAACATATCGTGAGCAAGAAGGAAATGGTAACCATTACCAGGGCTGATGTTTGTCGTCAAAAAACCATGAGCTTGTGTTGACCAGCTGAAGGACAGTTTGTCTAAACACTCAGCCTCCCCAATGCCATGTCAGTGAGTGTAAAATACTTCATGTGAATGCCTACTGTGTGAAGGAGCACTGCAACCCTATGACGTCAAGACCGTCATTGTTGATTTCTGTTCAATGAAATGCTTTCTTTTGCAATACGTGCTAAGGGGTTAAAGTTAGAAATAAATCATGGTAATGGTAGTGCTGGGCGATATACCGGATAAACAAGTGGATACCTGTTTTAATTTCACGTATGATATACATTTTTTGTACACCACCGTACCGGTGCATAGCTGAAATAACTGCTGTAACTCTTCAAAAGGCAACAAAAACAAGCAAAAACACTAAATCCAGAACCTTTAAAAATGCTGTGATACAAATTTTTTTATAATTCTGCCCAGCACTAGGTTATGGCAACTAAAAAGGTTATGGTTTTTGGTAAGATAACATTGACACAGCACTTACATTTTAAACCATTTTAAACTAATAAAACAGCTACCTGCGCTGATTAGAGTTGTGAGAGTGAACCAAAACAGTAAAATTGTGGGTTGGAAAACTAAAACAAAGAGCTGAAAGATGCTAAAACACTCCTCAAAACACCTAAAACTCTCTTTTGGTTTGTCACTGTCTCACATACAAGCAGTCATGTGTGGCCTTTTTTTTTCAAAATAGAGATATTGATTAGAGCCACTGAATGGTTAGGTTAGGGTCAGGCAACTAAAACACGTTTCTGTTGATGATTCCTAAAAATGCCAGCGTTAAATGCTGGTCTATGACAGAAGATAAACTCTGGTCTTCAGTGTGTAAGTCAGATATGCCATATGCCAATACACAGTGGAACCACTACACCCTTAGATTCCTGCTCACTACATATAGGGCACAATACTTACTGCACTGGCATTAGATGTAGATTGTGAGATGAGAGAATTGTCCAATATAGTTGTTCTCTCAGGGATACTGGGCTAAAGGGAGGATCTAAAAAGGAAAGTCAAGAGAGGACAGGTGTACTGCATGTGTGTGTGCGTGTGTGCGTGTGTATGCATGGCTGCACTTGTGTGTGTCTAACTGTTTGTAGGCTGTACATGTCCACCTCTGTGTACTTGCTCTATTTACAGAGTCCTACGGCGTCTTACCTTCCCAGTTTCATCCTTGACTTTGACAACTCCCCTCACTCTTTACATTATTATAATGTATGATGCTACTTACTTTACATACATACATCACTCTATAAGACTAGACAGGCATCTAAAAGCATCAGCCGTCATGGAAGAGATGCTACTGAAAACTTCATACCTGCAGAGTATGAGTTGGAGTGATGGGGCGGATAATATAGATGTCCTTTGGGAGGCTGTAAAAGACAGATATTAATATAGTCACTGAAATATACTGCAGTTGTTTCTTTGTCCTTGCAGCAACCAGGTGCTGTTGTTACATAAAGACCCTTTAAAGGCGATTCTGTTGCCTTTTATGCTTTCACATTATTGAAACTGTACACTGGGAGATGGCCTTAGTGAAGTAGATTTTTTTTTCAAGTGACTGTGAGAATGATGATAAGGAGAAGAAAAAGAAGAAGAGGAAGAACTGCCTATGTTTTGAGCTTTTGATCACAATGTCAGAAATTAAAAATCATTTACTGAGTCATTTAATTTTAGTTTTTGCTGTTTGAGTTTATTTTCTTTTTATGTCTTTTTTGGCCTCAACTTCTGTACAATGAATTTGTTGTTGCCCCAGACAGCACTGAGTAGCTATATGAAGTGTGTTTTTGTGAGAGCTTGTGAGTGGGGGGTGTCATTGAGGTATGGGAGTTGTGAGCAAAGCCATTTTTAAGCTGCACTTGATTCATATACATTGTATGTGCACTGTTAAATATGTGTGTATTTCTATTTATGAGCATTTCCTCACTTGTCGTTCCACTCTATGAATGCAGCGAGTTGCCATGGGAACTATGACATCTGTGACGCCACGTGATTTTATCCATCATTCTCAGAAAAAAAAGACACTTTACTGTGAGTGGTCCATGGTCCCTCTCCAGCTGTGAGTGATTTGTTTGAGTGCCGCAAAAGAGTGGGCAGCTTTTATAATACTGTTCCTTACGTATTCACCTTCAAACTCTTTTGTAAGAAAGGTATTTGGAAATGTGTATTGGCAAAAGGGATGCCGTATCGTGTCTTTGTCCGGCTATTTTCCTATTTTATTTTTCTGACTATGCACTTTACCATAATTTCCCCTCTCAAACTAGATTTCAGAGGGATTGGGATGTCGTATCCGCGGTTTTATTACATTTCTGGGGAGAATATGAGAGATGGTAGTATTTACTTTCCTAAATAGTTTGAGATTTATAGAGAAATATTCTAATTTTTGCCCAAAGTTAGATTGATACCACTCCTGTTTCTGTATGGTAAATATGAAACTACTTCCAGCAGCTGGTTAGCTGAGCTTAGCTTAGCATAAAATCTGGAGGGAAACAGCTAGCCTGGTACTGTCCAAATGTAACAAAATCCTCCTACCCGAACCTCTTAAACTCACTAACCAACATGTTATATCGTCGGGTTAAGTGGTATTTCTTGTCAGCCTGCTGAGACTCCAGGAAGTGAAGTCTGGAAGAAATGAATTCAACGAACAAGATAACATACTAATTGGTGAGCTTTGGAGGTGCTGGTTAGCGGGTTTTGACTTTAGACAGGTTGTTTCTCCCATTTTTCCAGTCTTTCTTTTAAGCTAAGTTAAGCTAAATGGCTTCTAGTGGTAATTAAAAAAATGTCGAACAAAATTTCACACACAGTGCAATATTAAGGGAAAAAAACTCCATCCTTAATAACAATAATATTGTCCACACTAAGTACAGACCTGTGTGGCAATGCCTGAGGGAAATGTGTCCAGCTGTCCCCTGGTGCCATTGTAGCAGGTCTAAACATGTAACAACACACATCAACACAATCATTTATACATTTGTACAGAAACACACACTGTCTTTGTTTTAGCCCTGAGGGAGGCAGATATTGTGTGCAAACTCATGCCATTATGCAAGTATACACCAATGCACACACAATGCAAACAGCCAAAAGCTGCTGGTGAGCTTGCACCTGGGGGCCTCTGACCCACATAGGCCCATGCGCAGGATGCGTCCTACTTTTTCACTTGACGATGCATCGTTAACCCCCTGTCTACTGTCCAAAGGGCTGAGCTGGTGCCGGGTCACCTGAGCTTACATTGTCATTATTGTCATTCATTTTGAATATAGAGACACGCTGCTCCCAAACACAAAACACTGACACCTATACTGACAATTACTTATGGTTTACGCTCCTGCTTTGACTTTCCATGTTCCTATAATTTTGCGCACACACACACACACACACCTTTGCACCCGCACTCTCACAGAGCCCATGGTGTCTACCAGTATCAAAGTGGTTTCCTGGGGTACTAAAGTGAACAGTATCTACCATTTTAGCCAGTGGGTTGCCTCAGTCTCTGACACACATAGAGTCCCTCCTTCTCCCTCACTCTCTCCCTCTTTGCATCTCTCTCACTCACACACACATTCTGGCTCTTTTCTGCTCTCAGTCTCCACTCCAGCTGTCTCGTTCTCTTATTCCCTCTTCCCACTCTGTTTTTTTCTCCTCCTCTTTGCTTCTCTTTTTTTCCCCTCACACACAAGCATACAGATGCACACACACATCTCCTCTCTCTCCTCCTCTCCTCGTATCCACCGGCAACTGCGCTGAGGAGCCTCCCTCACCAGCCTGTGGATCCCTTCACTTGACTAATTAGCCTTGAAGTGCTGTTGAAGATCATCATATTTAGCTTAGCGACCTAGCGGCAGAGTGCAGACAGATATAGACTAGGCTGACTGGAGGCTGGGTGCCTGGCAGTGTGGCAAGCTCTCTATCTCTCTCTATTCACACTCAGTGCCGAGGGCTTCTCAGTGGCAGAGCGGCGGAAGTGAGGGTGGTTTTGCTTTGAAAGAGACGAGAAGGGGGAACAGAGAAAAAAGCAAAGCTGAGACCACAACGCAACCACAGAATGGGAGTCCGCTGCAGGAGCAAATCCTCCTAGAGACGGAGACTTGGAGGGAGGCAGCAGTCACTGTGCAGCAGCACTGCTTCAAAGATACAGAAATTTAAGGTGAGAGTTTAAACCAGTTACTGCCCTGCTTTTTCTTCTCCTTTTTTTTGACGTGGGTTGTTCCTGAATGTGTGTGTGTGTGTGTGTGTGTGATTTTGCATCTCTATGACCCACATTGTTGAACCTTAGGTGCAGCACAGGAGGGAGTCTGTGCAGGATGCTCTCTCTTTTTCTGTCTATCACACACACACACACACACACACACACACATACATAGGTATCAGTGTGTAGCACCACTTGTTGGACTGACATCCAAGTTGACATAAAATTAATACTGGGATGATGGTCACTTGTGTGTGTGTTTGTGTGCGCGCCAGCGAGATAGTGAGTGGGTCTTTTGTTGCCGTGGTGCCAGTGTGAAGCTTAAGGATGCACATCATAGCGAACGACATTGGACAGCAACACAAGAGACAATCAGTCATGCCAACCTCATGCCTGAGTGCTTCTCACTGCTTTAGAAGATGGGAATATAAAGGAAGACCCAAATACTGTATTTACAGCGGACAACCTCCTGCATGTGTGTGTAGGTGTGTGTGTATGTGAGTATTTATATTTACTATCCCTTTATCTTCTGCTACAACTTGTATAACCTGTTCTTTCTTTACTTAACATCAATGAATGCTGTTTCACCAATCAAAACGCTTCATGCTATAAACGAGGCTCGAATATAGAAACTTCTATTGGAACAGTGAGATAATAGGATAGCGTTTCCCATGAGGTAGACAGGCGGGAGTGGAGAAAGAGGAGTGAAAACTAGTATATGAACCAAAGCATGAATAATTAACACGAACACATTGTAGTCTGTACTGCTGCGTGTGTGTGTGTCATTCAGCCAAACATTACACAATGCATGGACAGAAATACACACATGTACTGTGTGTGTGGCTTGTGCAAATACAGATTTTTTTTCATCCGTTTGCAGCCATAAGCAAGCCTCATGTGAAGCTATAAATAAAGGGCTGTGATGATAAATCTATGACGGGGAACAGAAACTGCCAAATGCCAGACAATTGAAGTTCAAGTTTGTGGACACTGTGATTTTGCAGAAACTGTGATTTCTAATCCCCCAAATCCTGCATGTTTAAATGGAAGGGACCATCATTCAGTCGCTGTGGTGCATTCCTGACGTGTACAAATGTCATACACACTGAAAGGATGTCTACGACTCTTTCAGTCTCAGCTTGTTAGCTTTGGAGGTCTGGTAGTCTTTGAAAAAAATATTTTCTGTTATTAAAGCTGTTCCAGATGAGAATTCAGGTTTCAGGGAGTGTTACATTCAACCAACAAAATGATGTGTCTCTATATCTGTATTCCGACAAAAGTGGGTGTGGTTTATAGGGAAGTTACCTCAAATCAGGCAAACTTTTTATTTTCTAATCTAATATTCATTGGCAGTGCCAACTGTTGTGCCTTCAAAGCATCAAATTGATTCCAAATTAGCATATCATTAATTATGAAAAGTAATTTCACATCCTCATACTGTACTTCTCTCTCTCTCTTTTAATCATGTAAGTTTTATTAACTGTCTGTACCCGGCCACCAACCCCCATTAACTGGATGACACTGAACAATCTGAAACGGAAAAAACAATTTTATAAATCGAAAGAATATGTTTATATTGGAAATAGAAACTATTTACAGTAAAGATATACCAGTATAGAAAAATACCTTCAGTTAAAGGGAATCATCTTAAAGTCCAATGAAATTAGGTTTAGAATTGCATTAAATGTCAATCCAGCAACACTAGTGGACCAGCATCACACCACAGAGCCCTAATGTCTTAAAGGGGAACTTCGGCAGATTTTTACCCTAGTCTTGATCACTAGAGGTCACCGAGTACTGTCGATAGGAAAAAGAACGACCAGAATTGGTTCTAGCAAACTGGAGATCCTGTAGCTAATGGCCAGAGCTCCCAGTTAGTTATAATACACTTCTTGGGGGCATATCCTAAAGAGTGCCTTTTGCTCCTCTTAAAAGACACAAAATGCAATTAAAATGTCTGTGCAACATGATCAGGGCCCTTACGTGACAACAACATGCCTTTTCAACTCATACGTTGTGCAGAAACCGTACAAAACAGTACTGTCGCCTACCTGTTTTTCCACCGCTCGCTTCACCGAAAGCCCAGAATAATCGATCACAGAGATAATGCCTTCGCGACGGAAAAAAGTTTATTTCCCCCTCAAAAATGTCCATGTCTTCACACACTACTCTCCTATTTGCACACTTCCTGCAACAATTTCTTCTTCTGCGTTTACAAGTGAAATCCCACGCACTCTTTAGTTTATGCCCCTAAGAAGCGTATTATAACTAACTGGGAGCTCTGGCCATTAGCTGCAGGATCTCCAGTTTGCTAGAACCAATTCTGGTCGTTCTCTTTCCTATCAACAGTACTCGGTGACCTCTAGTGATCAAGACTAGGGTAAAAATCTGCCGAAGTTCCCCTTTAACTTAACAATAAATTCTGTTTGTATAGACAGACCTTGCAGCCAGTGTATACTACTGATTATTAGAGATGCACAATAATTATCGGGGCAGATAAATTATTGGCTGATATTGCAAAATTTATATTATTACGAATTGTCCCGAATTCCATAACAATAATAATTTATTTCAAATTCTTATGTAAAACGATTGATATGCTTTATACTGAGTATGTCTTCGAAGTTTTTTGATGTTATTTACAAGAAAAAAATAAATGAAAGTCTGTCAGTGCTAAATCATCCACCTTTGCTCACCACATCTTGGCCTTACTTACCCTCGGGTGGGCATAAACTACAGCCCACTTTCTTCTGCTTGACCAACTTCGTGAACGCCTGCTGAGGAGCTGCACCCAGTGCTTGTGAACACGCTTCATGCTCATTCCAGTGTGTGCTCAATGGCGTGACAGCTTCAGTACCTTAGCTTGGACAATACCGATATGAGACATTGAATTTGATGAATTTACTGTTCATCACACAAATGAGACAGTAATTCGTTTCTAATGTGATTCTAAAGCCTCACTGATTACTGATTACTTCCATCACATTATTTGTGCTTTCCCAAATATCATAATACCGTGGAACATTACCGGCTCCACCATACTCCTAGTTGCTGTAGTCTACTCCATCACTACAGTTGCTGTGGTCCCCTTCAGTTCTGGCAAACCAAGTATTGCTGGTTGACAAATACACATGGGAATGTCTCCATTAAGCCTGGTGGTGATACGCTCAATCATCAGCATTGTGTGAAGTCGTTTGGTAAGGGCTTGTAAAAGTTCTGCTCTCCAGCTTCAATAGGAATCTTTTTCCATTTTACTTCTGTGCAAATATACACTTCGTATTTTGGTTTTTTGTTTCTGTGTAAACATGAATTAATCTCTTAGCTTTTCTTTTATGTTTTACTTTCAAAAGTGCTTTGAAGAATTAGATGCTTTCAGGATTCACTTTTTTGTTCCCATCCTTGTTTCTTGTTTCAAGTTGAACTTTTTACCGTTATCATTGAAAGGTGTTCAACAGCACTATGAAGTCATGGACGTGTTCCAACCCTGTGAAGTAGCTCCCTCCTCTCTCACCAACAGCAGCCATTGATTGAGGAAAGGGCTGACACGGCAGCAGAGATTTTCCCTCAGCCATAAAGTCAACGAGATAATTGTTGTCAAGGAAATGAGCGAACAGGCTCGATATCTGAGAGGAGAACCAATTGGTGTTTGATTCAATAAAATTATACTGAAGACTGCTGAAGGCATTTGCTTTATGATTGATAAAGTCATGATTTCAAAGTTAGCAGTTCTTAGAATTATTGCATTTGCTGATTCAAATGTCTTTGAATGCCTTTTGAAGCGTCATTAACATGAGTGCAGTCCTTTGCATGTCAAAAAGCCCTGAGCATTTCACAAGCTGGCCTTCTTACTACAACTATCTTCTCCATCTCTTCCCCTGTTTCCCCCTATTCTCACTTTGGGGACTGAAACAGTTTTTCTTCAACTTCTACCTATTATCCCCCAATCGCTATTATTTCCCATTGCTGAGTCTGCTGGCTTTCACCCCACCCTCTTTACTTCTGAAGAGTCTCCGAACGTCTGCATCATGACTTTGTCTCTCTCTTATCTCTTTCTGTCAGGCTTTTGTTTTTGATCATCGCTCCTCTGTTTCCACTCTACTTCTCCTCCTTTCAACCTCATTTCCCCCCCGACACTTTTGATTGCCTACCCGTACTGGTTTGTGGATATGTGTGTGTACCTGCATGTGTGCATTCTTGATGTATCATGCAAAATGTATCTTTGTGGGCATCTCTGCATATGGGTGAGTGAGTTTGGGTGTGTCGTGTATGAGTATTAGGGTAGGTCTGTACAAAAAAATAGTTGTTTTTAATCTGATGACAGATAATAAAAAGACTTCCTTTTTGTGCTCAGATGTGATTATCGGTAAATTTGACAACATAAAGCACATGGGCTATCAGCAGTGTGGTATGATGAATTACGATAAAATATCTTAAGACGTTGGACACATGTTTTTTTTATTCCTTACGGCCCAGGTTTGATTCCATATCACATATGTTACAGTTAAGGAAAAATCTGATAGTTGTAGTACCTGCAATACCACAGTGTAGAAATACATACTCTTTTCATAAGTAAAAAACCTGCAATTTACTTAAGTAAATTTCCAAATTGTTTGCATCAAAAATACCAAAAGTAAAAACACTTGCGTATATTATTGGATTATAATTACGGGTGCATCTGTGTGTAAAGATCACTTTAATGTTGATAAATGTAGGGCTAAATGTGACTTATGTTTGTACTGTTAGGTAGTTTAATCTAAAATAATACTGTATATCATTATTTATTAGTTAATTTTGTATTAATAATCTGCAAATAATCTCACAACTCACTCGCTTCACCCTCCCCTTCCAACCACTACCGTGGCTGTAAAACGTGCGGAAAACGTGAACATGGCCACTAGAGTCGGTGTCTGTCCCTTCTGGCTATAAAACATGGCAGTTCGACATGGTGGACTCCATGGAAGGCGACCCGTGATGTCTGTAGATAAGAACAGCTTCAGGTGATGATACACTATTGAAAACAAACCTATACATTTTATATTCCATTTCTGCCAATGCATCCTCCTAAATGTTACACACTGGACCTTTAAATTGAATTCGTACCTTGAACGTTGGCATTGAAAGAAATCGCATGCAGTTGACTTATCTAATAGTAATGTGAGTCTTACACACAACCGTGTTTCCGTGCATCACCTGACAGACACAGGAGCAACAGAAATGTAAGAGAAGTTTTTTTTTTAAGCTTGCAGCTTATTTTAAGACAAATGCTCAACATGATCAATGTGACTCATGGATACTCAACTTCCCGGTGAAAAATAAATTGTTCAAGAAATGATTTGCCTCCTAGCTGTGACTCAACAGAGTAAGAAACTCTCACCCTGAGATTAACTCTAAGCCAGGCACTGAATATAAATAGACTACTATTTACACCCTTGTATTGTCTGGAACTCAGACGACTTTTGAGTGACTCACAAAGTCGAACACTAACAAAGTGACACACCCCGAAAACGCTGTATCCGTCTGGACGCGAGGCCGATACGATAAAGTATTTATCCGGATTTAAAAAAAACATATTCGTGTGGACGGCCCCTAAAATTAGTTGCCAATCACGTCTCTTTACTTACCTGCAACAAGTCAAGCCAATTATTATGCCAGACTTAAAGTACAGGTTGACTTTGGATGAGTTCGAAGTCTCAATACAAATGCTGTATGCCTGAATTTTAGTGCCTCTCCTGTATTGTTTTTTTGTATTGTGTTCTTATTGTTACTACGCCTCAAATCACCCAGGCTGCTCTCACAGTGTCAGCCAGAGCTTTATTTATAGTTTAGTATTATGAACATTTAAAAAACATTTAAAAATTGCTCCCCATCTTAATGAACTTTACATGTTTGTATGTGCTTGTGTGGTAATGCATTTTTTATGCAAAACATGAAGTCGTTTGTCTTTCTACTGCACAGCAGCTGTATACCCAGCATATCCTTTTGAAACAAACTGAACAAAGCTTTGCAATGACCTTTGACCCTACAGATGATTGGCAGTCAGCTGTCAGCACAGAGGAGGGTGATGAGGAACCTTCCTGATGACAAAGAGCTGCAGAAGACCAGCACCTACATTGTGCCCTGCTTTCTCTTTGTGGAGGTGAGTGTTTGGACATGTTCAAAAGGGAACATACAGTACCTTTGTCACTTGACTCACATCTAAATATTTGAGCCTGATCTGACTTAAACATTGAAAATCATATTTAAAGTGCTTTGTTCCTTGCTTTTGGTAGTTATGAACTAACAACTCAAGGCAATATTTGTCATATTTGGGATAACATAACCTAAACCTAGACTCTAAAATCTAATATTGTACGGTGGGCAGATATGTGCAAATGCTGCATGGTTGTTTGTGAAAGTGAATTGAAATAGGGCGCTAGCTGTCTACTCTGCAGGTATTGGAGGTTTTGGAAACCTCTGGGAACTTGGAGTCACACAGAGCAAACTGATGGACACGTGAAAGCACATTTTACAGTCTTCTGCCTGTGAATGTTCTCTGCCATCTCTCTCTTCCATCATTTCACATGTCTCTCACGGCAGATTAACAACAATGAGCGTCAGTTGGGAAATTGTGCGAATTAGCGGGCTTCTTTTCAATTCACTGACTCCCAAAAGAAGTGATTGATTTGATTAAATTGTCACAAATGGGTAATTACCCTCAGTCCATGAATCATTTAGTGATAACATTCAGTGGGAGGTATTTCTCCCAACAAAGGCCCTCTCGAGTGACCTTTTTGCTCATAAGCTCCTTGATTCCTTTCCTCCACTCTTCCCACGACTCTTCTCTCCCTGTAATCCCTAAATGACCTGGTGGAGCGCTCATGGCCTCAACTGCATTTCCTAATTAATTGGCCTAATTAAGAACGGAAACCCAATTAGCCCATGCCAACGCTACCATGCTCCAAGCCAGCATGTCCTCCGAGCTATAGAGACGATGAGCTGAATGAGCAGTTTTGTTTTTCATTAAACCACATTTTTTTCTTTGAATTCACCCTAAAAATGTGATGTTGCATTCTTATAAGGGTTAAGATATTAAAGTTTGAGGCTGGCGATAATGGTTGAGTCAAAAGGGGCCATAGAGAGTTGACTAAGTCAGAAGTTCAGGTTTTGCAATATCAGATATAGCCTACGGGCAAACAACAGAGCTAAGGATAGATATGGACGTTTTTATGTCCCACCGGCTGAGACAAACTCAAGTAAACACAGATCTTGTGAAAAGTTGGTCTTGTTGCATTTTGAAAAAAAGTTTCTAGTGTGAACTGGCTTTAGCAAACTGCTTCTTTCTTCAGTGAACCTGCAGCAGCCTCTCCTGAAGGATTTTCCCCAACCTCGCTCTTCTTCTTTCTTTGTACTCGTTCACTCATTCACAACATCCTCTTGAGATCATACTTGCTTTTCTCATCTGCTCTTTGTGCCTTATCCAACACATGAATCCTACACCCTTTCCACATAACAATACTCCTCAACACACCTCTGTTGCCGTTGCATCTCTTTATAGCACAAATATCCCACAATCCCTGCAGGTTTACGCACGGTTTTAATCTTGCCTTTATTTCCTTTCATTGTACTTTGGTATTGGCTCATTCTCAGCATCCTCTTGAGGACTTGTTATAATGATTTTCCAGCTTTCTAATTTTTTTTTATAGTGCGTCTATAATATCTCTAGGCTTATATCTGTCAGTGGTGCTCCTCCCCATCTCCAGCATTCTCTTTGACGGTCTCTTGAGTACTGCCCAGTCACTCTTTTTATACAGATCCTCCACATCTCTCCTCTCCAGCACTTATTCCCTTGAGTAATTACGTCTTTTGCACCATGGATCTCTCCATTATTCCCCTTTACTTGTAAAGCTTCATCTCCTCCTCCCACTCAAAAGCCTGTCTGCTATTGCAAAGACCTCCATTCTCCTCATTTCTCCTCAATGCATCTCTCCAGCTTCATGTTTCCTCTGGGGTCTCCATGATTCTTTCTTCTTTTCATTTCATTTTGTTTCTGTTCACCCGTTCCTCCTTTCCAGGGCAAGTAGACCATGTCCTCATGCTCACCTCACATGACAGAGTGGAGGGTGATATGAACATCTACCATCCTAGGGAGGGGGTGTTATGTGCAGCTAAATCTGTCTCTGCTTTTTGCAGTCTCTTCCCATTTTGTCACCTTAATTGCCCCGTTCCCCAGGGGTGCATCTATTGTTTTTATTTTGTTCAAACATGGCCAGAGGTAGGTGATGAAAACCCAGTTTGACTTTAATGACTATATATGCACCTGAGTGAATCTGTGTACATTGCAGTAGTTTAATAAAGGGCATTTTTAAATTCAATTCCCCCTTCTGCTGTGTTCATACTGAAGCAGCTTGCTGTAGCATAGCTCCCCCCGGAGGGCACTCACTCCTTTGTTGTTACATTAGCATCTCATTATCCATTTCTTTTCAATTCAAACGCCCAGTCTTATTTCTCTTCCTCTCTTGTGATCTTGTTACTGATTCCTTTTCTCTTTACCTCTTTTCTCACAATCCAACTTTCTGTTTTCTCACTCTCTGGTTCTCTTTCTGTTTCCTCTTCCTTTATCACTATCTATCACCCTTTTCGGTCAGTCCTACTGTCCTCCTCCTTTAATCTCAAGGCTTGTCTGCCATCTCTAACTTTAAATACTGTATCTCTCTTTTCCCTCTTCCCATTTTCCCTGTTTCTTCCTTCTACTGTCTTCCCTCTGTCACTCTACCCATTGCTTTCTTCTTCTACCAGATTAAATATGAGAACTGGCCTTATCAGTTTCCTATACAAATGAAGGAGATTTCACACAATTTCACTTTTAGCTGCATGGGATAGAAACAACATAGAGGAAAGCAGATAAGTCGTCCTCTCTCTCTCTTTCTCTGTCTGTCTGTGTATCTTTCAGTCCTCTCTCTTGTTTTCACTCCATGCAACTGCTGTCACTGCCGTCACGCTGCAAAGCCACACAAGAGACTGGTCTGGGTCCTAACAGAGGCACTTCTTCAAAAGGCCCTCTTTAAAAAATCATTTTCATTCCACTGATTCCGGACTTGCTTTAGACACTGGTGGGGTGGGAGGAGGGTTGTGAGTTCGTGTCATCGAGGCCAGGCAAGCCTACTGTGAAAATCTGTACTGATGCTGAGTTACAAGGTACTCACAGTGACTACAAGTAGACTCTTTGAGTGGATCACACTGAGTGTACAACTTACTCCAGTGACTATAGTTGTGTGGTATCAGCTGGTGCAATAGTACTATGTGATAATCATTAGTTAACTGTTAGTGGATTTCTGTAGCTGCTAATTCATGGCACCCAGCCTTTGCTGTGTGTATCTGGGCTTTCCAGCTTTTCTGATCAGGCTCAACTGCCAGCTCAGAGTAGTGGAGCTTCCTCCTCTCCGCTACTTCCTCATGCCTCGTTGGCTGCATCCTCCTGTGGCACAGCGAGTTCTGTAAAGTAAACAGACTGTTGAGCATTAGACCACATAATGTTTCAGGTCTACAGCCTGTGCTGTCTCTGTTGATACTCTAAGGTGTTGGTTCATGTCTGCTCGCATCTCTTATTTTCTAGCTCCCCTGTAGATACCCTAATTTGTGCCTGCTCAGTGATTTCTGTCTAGTCAGTAATATTTCTCTCATCATTTTTTTTTTGCTTAATGTAAAATTGTGACGCATAGGTTTCTGTCTCAGTTTATATCCTACTAATTTTCAACAGCAAATAACGTTTTAGAGGAAATCTAATTCTGCCTCAACTACATTTTCTATAAATGAGACATTGTTAAACATGGTCACAAAATGCTGAGATTACACTATATATACACTACTACAACATTAGCTTGAAGCAACTAAAGCAAAATTATACTTTTTTATGGTTATATTTAAGCACTCAGTTGAAGGAGAACTCAAGTTTACACATCAAAGTCTGTTTACAGGTACTGCTGCAAAAAGTCAAGTGATGTCACTTGTGTCAGCTTGGTGTGGGTCTACGAGACTACAAGTATGAAGATTACCAGACTTCTGTAGTTTGCACCTCATCTCTGCTTAGGGCTAGTGACTCCAGACATTAGACATGAACTAGTATAACACAGCCGAATACATCAGACACATATGGGCACTTCACAAAACGTGTGTCCCGTTTGGGTAATGAAAAACAGAAAATTGTATAGATGTCAGTGCAATTTGATGTGTGTTTGGATTACAGTTATTTTGAGCTCTTGCGTGAACCTGAACGTTCATGATACCTTAATAAATTAAGGATCAGTCAGCCGTCGTGCTTCTTCAGTCTTTCCCCATCCAAATGGATCAGTCAACCAGCACAGTGGCCAGACAGTGTTTGTCCATATATACATATTTGAATCACCAGGTAAGCGTTAAGTGTTGTCTCTGAATACCCAACCTGTTAACAACCAACTGTATAATCAGGGCTGAGATTCAGTTGGAGACAGTGTTTACTGCTGCTGTTTTACTGTGGCCTATGACTGTACAGCAGCCTCCCACTCAAGCAGCTATTCATCAGTAGTAACTGTCACCAGCATCATTTAGCTTTTTACCATACTGACAGTGAATATTTATATATCTTATCTGCGCCAAACCTCACTGTGAAAGCTTTGGTTAGTGCCATTGCTTCACTGTAGTTTCTTACGTTAACATAGTGAAAGAGCTATTCTTTCCCACAAAAGGGGGTGTGGCCTTGGCGTTTGATGACGTGATGCCAGCCCGATTTCCAGTATTTTTCCAGCATTTCCAGCTGAGCTATTTGTCATCAAGTGGCATTGTGGGTAATGTAGGTGCCAGATCTGGACTAGGAACTAGAATGTGGGAAAAGGTATCTCTAGTTCTGCTGCATCAATTTTGATCATTAAAAAAAAACAACTGGTGGTCTTGGTTGAATGTTGAAAATGTAACTTGCAGCACACGACACATGTTAACGTGCTTTTGTTTTCCAAACCTCACCGGTGCCAAAATCCTTGCACAACTATGTTTTCTATCAACACACTGAGAAAACATTGGCAAGCATATCTGAAAAGTACCAAAATGTTGATACTGACTGTAAATGACCTGACCATCTCCCTTCCATTGACATATATGCTACGTACAATTTGTGTGCAGCACACA